GCCTGGTTAGCGGAAGCACAGTTACCTCCCTGATATAATGGAGCACTCATGCTTTTCTTTAGTGGCTGTATCAATTCCCAAAATGCAAAAGAGGATGGAAGAGAGCTGTCTGCATACAGAAGTTGCATCGGCTTATTTAACCCGGTGCAAAACCCAGTGATGCTATTCTTATTGTGGACTTATTTCACTTTAGCATAATCCAATTTTCTTTTTAACCGATTAAACAAATTGAAATAAGACATTCTTACACCGAAATAAGAATGACGTAAACTTGCATTGGTTTGAGCATTATTATTTCTACTGTGGCAGAGCCAAGGGACACCAGGTGTGGCTCACCGATAGACCTCATTGTGCTATAAAAACACAGACCCAAAAGATGGTTCCCTACCCAGCAAGTTTAAAATTTAACTACAAGACAAGGGCAATAGGGAACAATGAGACAATACTGATCAGCATGACAGGTAGGGCTTTTCAACCAATTTAGTTAAACGGGTACAACTTTGTGTGTGGACATTTACATTGATTTTTAAATGGGCTTAATTCAGTTTAGACTGCACCTGTAAGGGTTTGTTTATATGCAAACTGCAACCAAAATAACTTAACTGGTTTTAATTCATAGCTTTAGTTATTTCAGTGCAGATCTGTGTGTGGACACTTAGTTCCAATGAAGAGTATATGATTTCAGTGTACTGTAAGTTGATATTTTTACTGAATTTAATTTATTGGAATAGGATGCTTTTATTTACATCTTAATTACAGGTGCTGGCTATGCTGATATAAACAAGATTTAAACTGAGAGTAATGTGTCCACACTGGGGTTTGTATCAGTTTAACTCAATTGTATTTTTAAACCAATTTAAGTTAAACCAGCTCAACTTCTGTGTGTAGACAAAACCTGAGTTAAAGTGGCGCCGTGTGTGTGTGGGCAAGGCAGCAGGTGCATGCAGTCTCTATGAATATTCTGATGTACTAGGTGATACTGAAGTGATTAAGCAGGGTCCCCAGCAGGTAGCGTTGTTAGCAGGTTAGTTTGACCCAGGCAGTTAGAATACTAGGGACTGGTTGGTGACAAACCTTTAGTGTTATGGGTGACTGCGGTGAGAAGCTGTGTTGAGTCTCCTGTGGTCACACTGGTTGGCACTGCTGTTGACCAATCTCCTTCTGTTGTAACTGTTTCCAACAATGGCTCATCCGTCCAGAGCTGGGTCGTGTGTGTGTCCTGCGTGGCTGTGGTGCGCCGTTGTGTTGTGTCTTCCGTGCTCACGCAAGCAGGCCCCTTTGATGACCTGATCTCAGTTGTTGCTGGTGCAAGTGTTTCCCGTGAAGGCTTGTCAGTCCTGAGCTGTGAGACGGGGCCTGCTAGTGGTGAAGTGATCTCCCTTTCATAGGATGGTGTGGAGGCCATGACTGGGACTGTGGTAATCTCTGCAGTTACTGGTGGTTTAGATGGTGTAAAAGTCTTTGATTCTAGCAAGTAGTTAAATACATTCTTAGGCACATTTGAAAGACAAATGAACTGTTGTTTTTATTTTAGTTATTTACGTCCCGATTCAAGCAGGTGTATAAGCAGCTGCCTAACTTTGAAATCAATGGGATTGCTCACAAGCATATGCTTAAGGACCATCCTGAATTGAGACCTTAAAAACTAAACATGTGAATGTCTCTTGCCCAGAATAATTCTTCCCTGGGTGGATATCTAATTTGAGCACTCTTGTCTTTGGGCTACAAGATGAAGAGGTGTAATGACAATAACATATTATTTTATAATATAGTCAACTATGTATTTAACTTTTTAATAGATTATTTTATATTGTTGTTGTCATAGGTTCCTAGTAGTGGAGCTCCCAGTCAGGGGCAAGCCCCGTGGTGCTAGATGTGGTATAAACGCATCGTGCGAGACAGTCCCTACCCTGGAAGCTGACAATCTGACTTAAAATGAGGCACTACAAAGGAGTGTAGTAAACAACAGAGAAGGGCGGAGGAGGATGAGATAATAGAGATCAGAGTCAGGCACTGCAGCCAGGTTTTTCAAACACGGGGGCTTGAATTAGCCGCTGAAACCCACATCGAGGCACGGTGAAAAATGGCCTGGTTTTCGATTCAGCCCATGGGAGATGAGGTTGCTCAGCACCTTGGCAAATCAGGTCACTATCACGAAGGATTTAGGTGCCTAACTTTAAACACCTGCATTTGGCAATGATATGTTAGGTATGTTTAAGTACCACGGCAGCCACAACCATCAAGGACAGGGAAGGAGGAGGAATAGTGAACCAGATCCTCCGCTGGTGTTAATCCAATTTCAGTGGAGCCACACTGATTTACAGCAGCTCAGGATCTGGTCCGCTGTATCTAATTGAAAAATCAACGCCTGAATTTCAGTCTCTCCCCCCACCATCCAAAAACTCAAAGCAAAGAAAAGCTTGGATTCTCTTTAGTAAAGGGAGCTTACCTTTGCTGACAAGACTAGTCGCCTCTGTCCTAGGTGCTGATGTTGTCTGTTTGGGGCTGGAAGTTACAGGAGGTAGAGCAGGGTCCCCTGGTGAAAGAAAAGAGGAGGTTACTCGCCCTGTGCAGTAACTGACGTTCTTCGAGATGAGTGTCCCTGTGGGTGCTCCACTCCAGGTGCTGGTGTGTCCCTGCGCCCTTGCTCGGAGATTTTTGCAGCAGTACTCGTACTGGCCACGCATGCGCAGAGGCTGCCCCCCCCCCCCCCGC